TGTATGAAGTAAAAGATGGTGAGTTTGGCGGGGCATGTAGCAAGCACATAAACGTTTATCAGACTATATAGAGGTAAGAGACCACTTTGGAGGTCAAAAACCTTAAAATACATCTTGGATGATGTAGGTGTGTGGTTCAGACAGGATTCGTCTAGTTCACGCTAGGGAGCAGTCGCTGTCTTCTGTGAAGGCGATAATGAAAAATGAATTTCCATAAGAGGAGGAGAATTTCTTAACAGTATTGATTGGCTGTTTATCAGTGTCTCTACTCTATGGAGTTAGTTTTATAAGTGCATCGTATGAAATTAGGTTCCGAAGGAGACTATGACAACCATCTTTTAACAGCACGCAGTGACCACTTTTATTGTTTCTGTGACGATCTTCCGGGTATTATAACAGCAGGGAGTTTTGTTGAGAGATTCTCATCTGTCTTTCCGCCTTCCTCCCCTTAACTTCTATCTCATGTCGCATGATGTAACACTCTCCTGGGCACGCTTATTTGCAATATAGCTTATGAAGAACTTCAAGTTTCTGACTTCCGAGTGCTAATGTGGCTCCGACAAGTGACAGAGCCGGGTTTTATGACTTGTTCTTGTATGAAAAGAGCATGTGGTTTATATAACTACTTTCTGAAGTAATTCATCTTAGTTGCTCGAAGTCGGGTCGTAGGACTTGTTGAATGTGAAGAAGGAAGCCCTTACTGGGCCGAAAACTTCCGCTTCACAACGACGTAGGGCACAGAATTATGGTATTCGTATTTCTCCTCTTAATGTTTTAAAAGAGTAGAAGCTTGTATTTCTCGTGTCTGAGAGATCACGAAAAAATCATAACATAGCCACTATTATTAGGCAAAATTAATATAATGTGACTTCACTCAAATACTTCAACAACAAAATATAGCCTACTTATGATAAATTAAGAGCTTAATATTTTTCGGAAATACATGGCACCGTTAAGTTCAAAATCTCTTACTCTCTAATTTAAAATACATACAGACCAAAACGTATAAAACTTAGTAGGATTTCATGTTTTCACAGCGGTGAGACGAAAGATGACTGCCTTATGATTTA